GGGATGCCGATGTGATTGTTTATTTTGCCCTTTACCCTTGGCGATGGATCCCTGATTTTGGGATTCTCGGTAATTCCACGATTCTGCCAGGAATCATCAGCGATCGAAGAGGGAATTCTGCACAGCCAAGCAAACTACAGGGGATTTAAATCGCATTGCTCCAGGAAAAAGAAGAGAAGCAGGAAGAAAATTCATGTGGCGATTCTCTCCTTAACAATAAATCATTTTGGATTGCAGAATGAGCAAGGAAAGACCTAAGAGGAATATCATTCAGAAAAAATACGTAAGTAGCGATTTTACTGGGGGACCCCCTCGAATTCAATTGGGCTATTTTCAGGCTAGTTTTGAGTAGCAATTGGGCGGGTTTTGTTGCGAAAACCTGGCAACCCTGCCGCTGAGCGTGCTGTCGGGTGTGAGAGGCTGCTTAAAGGAAGAAGCTTCGCCTTGTGTTCAGAATCAGATGAGCCCGTGGTGCTGCTAGAGTACACTCACCGTCTGCTAGCTCCAGCCAAAACGGACCACGAACCCTTCTCCTTTTTTATTTTATTTTATTTATTTCAACCGATCCTCTGATAAGCCTCTTCAAAACAATATGTAACTCACCACCGAACATTTACATCCTCACTTGAATAAACCTACATGTTTTAAAGAGCCGGGATGAACATCACTGATGGAAGTTATTGTGGCGAATGGTTTTAACTATGGTATGCCGATGTGATTGTTTATTTTGCCCTTTACCCTTGGCGATGGATCCCTGATTTTGGGATTCTCGGTAATTCCACGATTCTGCCAGGAATCATCAGCGATCGAAGAGGGAATTCTGCACAGCCAAGCAAACTACAGGGGATTTAAATCGCATTGCTCCAGGAAAAAGAAGAGAAGCAGGAAGAAAATTCATGTGGCGATTCTCTCCTTAACAATAAATCATTTTGGATTGCAGAATGAGCAAGGAAAGACCTAAGAGGAATATCATTCAGAAAAAATACGTAAGTAGCGATCGTTTGTATGCGGCTGACCTTAAGTTTGTTCGATGGTCTCGCGCTTGTGTCGATGTTAAATGCGTAAACTTTGATCACGGATGGCTCTTGTTGTGTTTAGTCTGGATTTGAAAGCAAGGCGTAAATGCACCGCACTACGCGCACAGCACTTAAATATATCTAAAGGATTTTCTCTGTAGTTGCACAGACGTCGATGTTCCTCGCTTTTGCCCTGGTATCCTCATTGGGAATGTATATGTTTTGCACGACAGATGTTAGCTTGCAGAACTCATCTGTAAACCTGGACGCGTTTTGTTTTGGGTTTGTTAGTAACGTTACCAAACAAACTCCAGCTTTAAAACAGCATTGTAATCAGAATGGCTTTGTTTGCTCTTCATTGCTTTCAGTCTCAAAGCCGCGAGGACAACCATATCGCCCGCTTTATTCCGGGATTTGTTTCCCCGAACTGAATTCTGCAGGAATACGGGGTATAAAAGCAACTATCCCAACTCCCCTGGCATCTTTGATTTGTTTATCTCGGATGTAACTCGTTCTCCTTCAAGTGTAAGCAATGGGCTCTTTAATGTTTTCAAACTGGGTAAGGAAAGCATTTCCTCTGCCCTTGACGACTGTGAAGACAACAAATTGGTGGCAGATGTAAAGTTAATTTAAGATTCAGAGTGTAGAGTGAATTGTCTTCAGTCTTTACAATTTAAGCAGAATGCTCGACTCGAAAACACTAGTTTGTACAACAGCCAGCATTGTGGGTATTACTGTGCCTGAAACTCTGTTTTGCTTGCTTTTTTCTCGGAGAGTTTCTGCACGTTTTATTGTTAAAGCTGATTAAATATTAATATTACACAACTGATTAGATTAAGCGAATGGGATGTCGTTTATAGTGGAATATATCCAGTCGCATTGCAGAGGTTCGCGTTTAGAGCAAAGCGACCATTTTACCATCTCTCCAGTACGATGGGTTAGTGAACCGGCGAACTTGTCGTAGTATAATTGGAGAACCGGGACTTCATAGGGCTTGAACTTGCAGGCTGGTGATTTACTCTCCTCAGGAGCGGAATTAAGCAAGACTACCATAACAAAAGCCCGAGTCTCCTCAGAGACAGCCGAGCAAACCTCGTATGAGTTAACCCTCGAAGAACTGACTCACTCTTAACCCCAGTTTTCCAGACGCTTTACCTGTAGTTGAGGAAGAGTTTCTTTTGTCGTAGTTTGCGATACTGTTGTTACATCCTTCATTGATCATGTCTTTACTTTATTTTCCTCTCAAACCAAGCCAGTACCGAGAAATAAATTCCCGCCGGCGCGTGAAAGGGTTAGCTCGTGCAACCAATTTTGTTTGTCACGTGACCTCATATTTACACCCCTCACCCATAGGCCATCAGCAACAGGTTAAAAGGAGTGAAACAGATATTGCGAGGGTTTAGGTTACGATGACGCACCACGGGGGCAGTTTCCAAGCACTCTATCGGCAATGCTCATGACATCTTATCGCTCTCCATAAAGGTGATGGGAATTGTCTATCGTTGCGTGCTTTTGTTCAACTGAAGCTGTCTCGTATTGTTAAAGGCAGCCCACAAAGTGTGACGCAATTACTTTTGTTAATTGACAAGGGAAATGAAAGTGTTGACAAAAGTAGTCTATCACACCACGTGGTAACTTTAGAAGAATGATTCAGTTAAAACCATTGTACTACTATAGGTTTAAAACGCTTTCCTAAAATAACTTGTCAAAAGGTTGTCAGGATAAGCTTTGGATGCATTAGAGCAAAGCACATTATCCTACATTGGTTCTCTGGTTTATCACCAATATTATTTGTTTTGAATAATTAGAAAATAAAATGTAGGCTATATACAGGACTATATACAGGCTCAATGCCATTGAGACCTAGAAATGTCTCGGGAGTGAATAAAATATTAAGTAATAAAAATTATTTCTGCTTATGCTCTGTTCAATGTTTATGAATTGTTCTATAGTTTGAGATTATTTTAAACCTTATCTATATAATTAATAGTGATTTGTAGTAAATGTAAATTCATCAAAAAGTATATGAACACTGTATATGTATTTAGGTATTTTTTCCCATTTTTTTAATGTGGTTAGGTAATAGAATAACATTTGATCTATTTAGTGTTCATTTGATCTGTGTATGGTTACATGTCTGACAGGGATCTGCTGCATCTCGTACTGACCACATGTCAGTATGGTCAGGGTCATGATCATCTGTGTAATTCGTGTGGAATGGACCTAAACCGTTCAGAACATGGCTGTTCATGTCACATCTGTGCAGTGCTGCCAGCTGTGCTAAAATCTGGTCAGGCAAACAACAAAAACAACCTGAAGGATCTGTCCCCGGGGGCCTGCACAACTCTTGGCCCCTTGGATTCAGCCTCCCCTTAATTAGCGTAAGACAATTATACATGCTTGGCTTAACCATATCCCCTGGAACATGAGTGCAAGGGATTTTTTTTTTTACTACATTTTCCTTCACATGTGCTGTGAAAATTATTAAAATTCATTTAGTGGAAAACGAGAGCGGGAGAAAAAAAATATGATAATAGATGTTAATAAGAGCAAACAAGGAAATGCAATTAGACCGTCCCTGATTGATAGACGTGTGTGAAAAGCAGAAGGGGGGCAAGTAGGCACTTCTGCTTTCAGACGAGCTCCTTTAATGGCTTCTCTCAACAAGGCCGTCCTGACACTCTCTGAAGCAACTTCTCTGTATAATTATTTCTGAGGGCTGTTTTTAGAGCGAAGAGTTACGCTGGTTTTGATTTCGGACTTTGGCTAATGAATGCAACCGGAGCTCGCGTTTGTGTTCTTGTTCTGTTGAAGTGAACATGGCACATGGTGCGAGGGGAATGGGGGGTTACCCATGGCTATCCTCTCCCTCTCTCTCTCTCTCTCTCTGCCTCTCTCTCG